CACTAAGAAATCACAGAGGACTCATGCCATTCTATATTCTGGCCATGCTGTAAGCATTTTCATGCAGCAGGTTTCATGCTGTGTTCTGTAGCAGACAGAGGTTCAGCAACACTGGTTATCAGACTGATTCTGGACTATATTTGTTTCTGCTTGAGTCTTTTAAAGCTGTTTATCAGTGTAGGAGCATTAAAAGTGGTTTTATTTTGCAAGTTACAGCCAAGAAGACGCAGGGAATGGTCAGTGACTCAGCCCACACAGCTGCAGAATAAATACTTCCACTCACCATCTCTATAGCATCCCCAGAGTGACCTGGCACATCCCAACACCCACACCATCCCTGCAGACAACCTGAGCTCAGATTATAACAAATCCCACTTGTCCTTGTGACAAGTGACATAAAAGACTTGCAGGGAAAGGATCCTAGCTGCTGAACCAGGCTGATGTTAGCCACAGACACTGTGGCTACGAAGGATGGAGGTGGCAGTGTGGGAGAAGAGCAACAAGTCTGGTTACAATGGATGACCAAGCAGATGTCCCAGCACATCTGTGACCACGTGGGATTGTTTGCCTTACCACCAAAAGACCCTGCAGACATTAGCATGGAAGAACTGGACTTTGTATTATAGGTATGGGCAGCATGATTCCCTGGTGAGGGGGCAGCAGCGGCAGGGAGCACAGCTTGCTGGAGGTGGCATTTAAACAGCCAGAGAGGGGGTGCTTCAAAAAGTTAACCAAGAATGTCCAACTACATGAAGTTTGAAAGAGTTGGGTTATTTTAAAATTATTAATGAACAAGGCAGTAGCCAGACCTAATTGATTCATGAGCAAAATAACTACCTCAGTTAGGGAGTCTTAAATATTTAGGGTCTTCATTCCAATAATGACTTTTCAAATGTCTCTTCCCTGTGAAGGTAAATGGCAGGTTAAAGAAAGAAGCTGCTCTACGGGAAAGAATTAGACTTAGATGAGCCATCTGCTGCTGCAATCCATGATGATATTTCAAAACTGCCACAGAGGAAGATGCAGTGAAGCTGAAATGAAGAATTCAAGAGGAGCTGAGCAGCAGATCAGTCTCCACAGGTGAGTTCCACCTCTCTACAATGGCAAAATCCTCTTTGATCTCATGGAAGCAGAACCGAGCACAAAACAAACCTGTCTCTAAAACCCTGCAATTGCTAAAAGTGCTTTTGGGTGACTGTGCAGCAAAGCAGGACACAGCTCGTCAAAATGGACCCAGGGCATGAGCAAGCAAACTATGGAAAGCATTTCACATAGTATGGAGAGAAAGGAAGGAGGGGAATAAGAGAAACTGAATGAAAAATGGAGTTCTCTTTATTGCAGCTTGTGTATATTGCTTCTTGATTGACTGCACTGAGATGAATCCAGATGTCTTCTTTCTATATCCTCCCCTGAGGCATTTAGACACATGGAGAATATCTCCTGGAGCCTTCTCTTTTCCAGGCTGAACAATCACAGCTGTCTCATCTCCTCCTCACCCAAGCCTACAACCCACCTTTGTGTCCTTTCACTGGACAACAGGCCCATGTTTTCTCTCTCTCTTTGCCTGTCTTGTGCACCCAACGGCTATTTGCAGGAAGTGCACTCATCTCAGAATAATGTTTGGGCCCTCATTTACAGCAACACTGGGTAAAAATCCAGCTTTTGAGGGCATATATAGGTCCCATACTCCTACACCAGAGCAGAAGTGATCCCTGTCCCCCTGGACTATGTAACAAAGCAGCAGATTATCCCACAGCAAAGATCCCCCCACTCTTATCGTTGCCAACTGGAAAGGCATGGGACGAGCACTGCAGGGAAATTTTCTTGCCAGGCTTGAGTTTCCTCTTTCCAGTGAGCTGTCAAGTTTGGCTAGATCTCTATTCAGAGAAAAAAAATGCATAAATATGCATAAATAAGTTGTTGTGCAAGCAAAGTAACCAAGGTAGCTTGCTTGCCTCCATTCTGTTCTCTCATCTCAATGGATGCCAAGGTCAGGGAGCATATGCCCATGAGGGCACCTGATGGGACTGGAGCCTTCTTCCAGCCCTCTTCTCTACCTGCTACTAACATTCACCACATCTTCAGGAATCTCAAATCCACCAAGGTTCCTCCTCTACCCAACTGAATTGAGAAGCTGCAGAAAAAAGGAGCAGAGAAAAAGAACATACCACTCTCCTCACACCAGTGTGTGTGTACAGAGTCTTGTTAAAAAAAAAACAAACAAATTAAGCTGCATTGCTTTGATTTCTTTTGCCTCAAACCTGCTCCAGTTACAAGCAAACCAGAGGGTTTCCTAACCACAAACGCCAGCTCAGCTGCAACTGTATTTCTATCGGAATTCCCCTGCCTGGAACAGATTCTGTAGTAAGGCCCTGTGAGTCTGAGCAGTATTCTGTTTCCTTGGCTGAGCCTGCAATGTACACTGGTGAAATAAACAAACAGGAAGGGGGGAAGAAACAACCCAAGAGTGAGCAGACAGCTTCTTTTCCAAAAGCGGTGTCTGAGCTCACCACTGCATGCTGGCACCCAGCACACACAGCCTGCACGCTTCCAGGCTGCTTCCTTCTTCCTCTTTAATTTACTGCTTTCTGCAGTCCATTTCCCAGGCTCAGCTGAGGAGGTGGGTGCCTGCCTGCCTGCCTCCTCCCCCATCAACATCTTGCTGTACCAACTGCCAGGGCTTATTCTGCTTTTGAGATGCTCATGAACGCTCAGACTTCCTAGTGCTGCTCAATATGGAGAAATTTAATTATATAAAAGCAAATCATCCCAGAACAACACTGGTGTCATTTAGGAACAGCAAAGTGGAACTGGGGAAAGTGCACATAAAGTGTACATACCAACACAGCAGCCAAGTAACTCAGCATCCAATACATTTGCCAGCCCCACATCTTCCAGCACAGACAACCACTGAAGTTAGTGCTGTTTCAAAAGCATCCACAATAAACTGAAAAAGCCACCAGACAGAACAAGTTCACATTTTTACATGCTGGTCTTAAGAGGTTTATCTTCCTCTCAGCTAAGGAAAAAGCTTTCAGCTTTGAGAGATCTGAAGGAATACTGAGTTGCTCAGTTCTGTGAGAAAATCATGCACTGGAAAGTCATTCTAGAATTTTAAGAACATAACTTTCCAGCTGTTCTAGGATCACCAATCGCCAGTAAAAATGTACAGCAGTGAACACAATAGGTTTTCTTCTTCCCAGCAGTCCAAATGTGAGTGGAGATTTCTATTCAAGATGATCTCTTTGAAGTTTTTACTTAGGGGAATTATCCCAACAAATATCTCCCATTGTCCATGGCCTGAAGGCCTCCAGCCCTCTACATCTGCATGACCCAAAGTGAGAGATCAGGCAATGGAGAACCACACAGAGCAAGACAGAAACAATGACAGCTATAAGACAGCTGGACTTCAAATTCAGAACTCAGGTTTTTTTCCTGTACTTCCACACAAGCAACTCCCATCTTCTGATAATCCTCACATCTTCAGAAAGCCCAGGACTTGAAAACACGGCCTCAGTTCACCTGTGCAAAATCAAAGGCAGAAGTGGAGAGGCGAACAGGTTCCAGAGATCAGACAGCAGAGATCCCACAGGAGTCACAACCAGGTAACCTCCATGGCAGCTACCACTGATTGAGCACACAGCCCACGCTGCTGGAAATTTAAAGGGTAGCAGGTTTCTCAATTCCTTTGAAGCCTTAAGCTTTAGCTCTTTAAGTCAAATGCACTTTCAAAACCCCAAGGTCGATGACTGGAGATTATCCAGTGAGGCACAAAGCGAGCTGCTCAGCAGAAAGCCATTCTTTCGGGTCCCTGCAATGCCATTCCAGGAACGTAGGCTTTCACCAGAGCACAAAAAAGGCCTTGAAACACCAAAGTACCAATGAAATTTTCCATGGGCAGCTTCATATGGAAAAAGGAGTGTGAAAATGCCACCTGGGACACCTAATTCACCCCTCAGTGATTCTGGTTCTGCACAGCAAGCCCAAGACTGACGACAGCTGCAGCTGGGGTGCCAGCAGCCTTGGGACACCAAAGCACCGTCCCCATTTTCTGTGGCTCAGGACAAGCACCACAAGCTATATCCAATCAGCCAGATCCTTTCTAAAGATCTGAATCCATCCCTCAGCACCATCAACTCCACAGATTTGCAGCAGGAAGAACAGCAGAAAGCACATTTTTGGCTATCAAGTAAGCAGGTAGCAGAGAAGGGCATGGAATAAAGCTGCTTGTACAGAGACGCTCCTTTCTGAGAGGAGATTTTGACAGCAGCTTCTTCCACTTGCTGGGCCAACACAGCCATTCTTGTTCTCTATAGAGCTCAGCAGCCTGAATGCCTGATCCCTTCTGCAAATTACCTCAAGCCTGCAGCTGGATTCAGGAAAGCCTGAGACACTTCCAGGCTCTCAGGAGCCTCCACCACAGACACCTTGAGACAAAAGTCAGGGAAGCTCTTAGCCCTCTTGCTAGCAGCTGGAAGAAGACGCCTTGCTCCACAGCCCAGCCTCTGCTCCTGGCTAAAGAGTCACGCTGAGCTACACAGGAACTGCCACCACGAGAAAAGCAGGGACAGAGCTGACAGCGATGGCAAAATGCAAGGAGCTTTCTTTTGGCAGAGTTGAAATCTCCTTCCTTCTGGGGCCATCATCTCACACACACAGCAGGCAAAGCTAAAGAACAACACCCTGAAAGCTCCATGAGCCAGCAGACCCCAAAGCTCTTGTCCTGGGCTCCATCATAGGCAATGCCACTTAAAAACACAACCTGAATTTGACAGTTTGCCTCCAAAGATTAAGGCAAGGGAAAACAAATACAGGTCAAAAGGAGAGGAAGGAAATAAACAGTGAAGTTTAATAGCAAGCACAGACAGGTGGAAACATGGAATGTGGTTTGCAAATGCAGCCTGACCGCTACTTGGCACCATGGCCTGCCCTACCACTAGCAAAGGAGCACAGAAAAAAGAAGACTGAAAGCCAGCAGACCCAGACAACAGCAGCAATACCTGCCTCTGTCAGCTACACAGGTCCCAGGAGATCTTCCTGCAGTACAGGTCAGGGTATCGCTGGGAGATGAATTACACAGCTCCAGCTACTCAGGTATCCTTCTCTGGTTGCTGAAGAAGAGAAATCAAATAACAAAACTGCTAACAACATGGAGAAAAAGGAAAGTGTGTTTAAAAGCCTTGCTGGCTCCCGGCCAGGGTGTTCAGCACCTTCCAAGATGCATCTCAGAGCAATTAGTCTGGGCACTGCCACCAAGTTTCACCACACACTGCTTGTCTCTGCAATGCAGATAGCAGCTCTATTACAGCAAAGCACTTACGCACATATTTGAACCTTAACTACAATCCTAGGACATCAGAAGGAACAGCATTCACATGCAAAACAATGAACAACTCAGCCTGAAAAACGTGGAAATAGATCCAAGCAAGTGTCTGGATCAATGTGTTTGATCATATCAAAATGAGATGCCCGACCACAGAGCTGGCCCAGCATTTCTTTCCCGGGACAGACAACATTATTTTCTCCCACATTTGCATTTACAGCTGTTCGTTAGGATAGGAGGACTCCGGTGAAGAAGCATTGGAAATAATTCTCATTACATCCACCCCCTCAAATGGAGCTACCTCTGTCCAGGTTTCCTCACTCCACCTGCACAAGCTGCCTGTGCAAGATGTGACACACAGCCAACAGCCACCTTGAGCCTTGTGCCCATGTGCAGCAAGTGAAGGTTCACTGTAGCACCAGAGCTCTGCTGCTGGCACTGCCTGTGTCACACACACCACAGCAGCAGGGCTGGGCTGAATCCAAGGAGCTTGCAGCTGTGCACACAAGATGTGGGGAGAACGGATGCACATCAAGCATGGGGCAGCAGAGCACTGTGCGAAGAGCACACCTGGTTACTCAGATCAGCTACACTTGGGCTCTAGTCTTCCAAAAATCACTGATACCACCCATATGCTGAAGATGCTCTAGCAGCAGCTCTTACCCTGTTTCTTTTGCAGCATCCCACTCCAGCCCTTTACTACTGTGTTTGTTTGCTTTACAACTGCTGGAGTCCACAAGAAGTGTTTCCCCACACCCGGAAACAGGGAGCAAGGTGTTCTCCCATGCCCACTAATTGCTTGTTGACATCTGGGAGGCACACACTCCCTTTTGGAAGGGCATACCACAAACACCCAATATCACCAACCAACCACTCAACAGAAATACAAATAAATCCACTCCTGGAGGCAGCTTTTATCTGCAGCTCTATCTACATTCTCTGCAAGTGAAGTAAACCTCACTTGTAAGGTTTTCTGTGCAGTAGCAACACCAAACAGCTAACATTTGCCTTTATTATTATCATATATTATCTCATAATTATATATTGCCTTTGAGGTTTAGCAATAGTCTTGTAAATTAGTTAGGTCAGAAAACAGAACACAAAGAAACTACTCTTGGAATTAAAAATGCAAAACAAACTGGAGAACATAATGAGCAAGTAATAAATTCCACTTTACTTGAATTCTCTTAAAATGACTGCTGGTGAAGTGGTTCATGCCTGTAACCCAGGAGATCCGGCTGAGACAATTACAGAGACCTACAGGCCTGTGAATTATTCCCTAATACTTGAAAAAAGACACTCATTAGAAAACTATTCTTGGCTTTCCTTTTACCGGTTGTTAGCAGCAAAACCCCATCCTTCAGCTTCCCGTTTTTGAAACTGTAGCCTAATGCATTTCACTGGGAAATCCTCATTTCCTACTACCTGCTGTGACCTATCCACATTCTACACGTGTTGCCTATTCCCCCAAGGCCAAGAGAACATTCAGAGAGAGGAGCTATGGCCAGACGGCCTGGCTTCATTAAAGCCAGTAAGAGAACCCCAGATTTCTGATGACAAATCTCTGGCTACTTTATTTGCCCTTTTATTCTTCCTATAGCTGAACACACCATTCTAAAAGTAGATCTAATGTCAGAATATTTTTTTTTTTCTTTTTTAAATACCATCACCACATCATTCCTGATAGAAAACAAAACATCTGCACCAGGGCTGCGATTAGTGACCTGGTTTTGACAGCCAGTGCATCCTCTTTTTTGATCTCCGACATACTGATAAGATTTCAACCACATCCAGCTTAGCACAGCCTATGCCTAAACTGTCAGCAACACCCCACGTCAGTCCCTGTACAGAGCTCCCACATGGGCTATTACCCAGTTGTGCAGGTTGAGTGAGAAGCAGAGATCACCATGTGCCACTCAAAGCCTGTCTGCTGGATGAGAAGTGGCCTTTCTTATGTTTGTTGTACAGTGACTGTGATATTAGGATGATGAAAGATTGGAGGGAAAAAGGGAAAACCTCAGCTTATTTGCTATATATGTAATCCACTGCCAGCTTTATCTAAAGTAACTTCGTTTGTTCCCCCAGGTTCTCAGATATTCTGTTCACTTGCTTAAACACGCGCACATCTCTGAACAATCAGGTTTCAAGTCAACTTCTTCAATATTCTAGTAAAAGAAATGCAGTCACAAACAGAAAGTTGAGAACAGCAAGGCTTTATTTGCACAGCAATCTCAAGAGTGTTTCAAAGTACAGCTTCCAGCTAAACACACTTTAATGTACTGCTGGTGGCACGGGGATTTGAGAATAGGATCAGACTTGCACTTACCCAGAATGTGGACACTCATGTACCCTGAGAACAAAGCCTGAGAAGTCTGACTTAGAAGCATGAAATCACTGTGCCTGACCAGGAAACAAACAGCGAAATAAATTAAAGTACTGCTATAAATTCCAGGCTAAGTTCTTGGGATATATCTTAATTGCCAGACAGAGCTGTTTCAAATTCTGTTTGATGAACCTCCCATCATGTTCTTTCCAACAGCCTTGACTTAACTGCATTATATTCCCTCCCACAATCATTCTTTTTTAAGATATTAAAAAAAAAAAAAAAATCAAAGGGGGAGGTAAATATTTTAAGCTAATCTCTACCCATGCCATTCTTGGGAGCACCCAAAAAGAGAAGCACTTTATTCTACAGTGACTAAGATGTGAGTCATCTGATGAATAAGCACTTTGGCTTTGGAAGTCTCATTCAACTCATGACCAAATGCAAATCATTTCATTACCTAAATCACTTGCCTGTTTTCTCTGTTAATGCAGCAGCACTCTAAGGTCAGGAAGGGGCTCCCATTTCAGACACGAGTGTAATTGCGGCTGATCTTGTCACGCTAAGGTAGACAACGCTGCTAGGAAACTCCTTGATGAAAGAGCGGAGAAAAACCATGTGTGAGCTCACATTTTAAACTGTTCTGAAAAACCAACTTTGGAATTGCCTCCACGCTCAGCTAGCACTCGAGTTAAGTCACACAGACTGCTGGCATCAGCCTTTCTTTCGGCTCAGCACCCTGCAAATGCAAACGAGCCCATATCTCAGAGCCAGCAGGGCTTCACAGGCAGGTGCCAAGGCTGCAGCCCAACTTTCAACATCGTTCCACTGCTCTCAAAACAGGTTTTTTTTTTTAAATGAGCTGGAAAAGCATTAAGTCAAGCCACATAGGGTACTTAAATACTCCCCCATTCCAAAGGAAACCAAGCACCTTGCAAAATTAATGCATGCACCTTCACGAATGTTCTGTAGTACACATTCACAGGAAGGAAAACAGCTTCGAGGTGTAGGTGTCTGAGGTTTCTGGCTTAAGCTCAGAAAGCAGGCCTAGGGCACACAGTCCACGTGCCCTCTCCCTAAAATGCAGGCAAGAACATCAGTCAGCAGGTCTGGTCCCTCTCCCAAAGGTCACACAGCTGCCCCAGCACCAACGGCAGCACATAAAGCAGCTGCAAAACGTGCCCAGCCAACAGCCAGGCACCCCATGCTGACAGAAGCGATGAGTCTGTTCTGCTTCACAGCCCAGTGCACAGCCTTTCTCTGCAGCTGCTAATTTCTCCATGTTCAATTAGCACAGCACAAAAAAAACCTACAGTAAGTGGAATAAGTTCACAGAAATTATTTCAGTTGTTCTTCACCACACTACTGTCAAACTAAATTTTATGACCAAGGATTTGGCCATATTCAGATCCCCTGCCATTCAGGAACACACAAAGTTTAGGTTTTTTGAAACATTTAATGGGCTCCCAGATGAATGCAGCCAGGGTTTTCACATCACTGGCCGTCAGCATATGAGTTTACCTATAAAGGAATATAAAAGAATAGAGGTTTCTCACTGAAGAGTGAATTCACAATTTGCACATGCTGGACTAATGATATTAACAGTCAACAACACACACAGGCTTTCCTCATGGAGCCAAGGCCATTTCACCTTCATTTTCCCCTTTGGCACAGAGGAAAACCTTGCTAGCGCTTTATGCTAAATCCAGTGATCACAACACAACTCTGCAGGTACAAGTTTAGGGAGAGAGAACCTGGTTTTCAGCATCCTTACAGCCAACAGCACTAATGCTGCAGGTGGCTCAAAATGCACACCCTAAGGACTCAGACTGAGGGTTTCAGGACTGACAACTCAGATCCCACTCAAAGCCAAGTCCGGCAGCTGGATCACCTAAATCCCACCCAGACCCCACAGTCACCAATTGCTCTCCATAGAGGTCACATCACGAAGAAGAGGGTTAGGGGAAAAAAAACAACAGACTTCAGGAAATGCACAGCAGCTCCAATGCAAATGCATTTCACACTACTACAAACTACTCACCTCTCCCATACTAAAGGCATCCTTCAAAATAAAGGGTAATTATCAGCTCTTACACCACAGTTATAGCATCATGAGATGCATTTGCTCCCTGCTGGGATAACTGCGCTGTTTGTTGCCATCCAAACCACTCTCTGGATCACCAATTCAGCAGCAGGACCTTACCAGCCACCTTCAGCTCCCCAGCCACAGCAGTAGCACTCACTGACTGCTAGAAGACTGCAAGCTAGCGCACCACCACTGCACTTGGAACATATGTAGGCTGCAGTGAAAAGCAAACCCAAAGGACTGATCTTCTCAGCAAATAAGCAGTTACACTCTGTGGGTAGAGAAAGTGGCGAAGAAAGGAGCTTAGTTGTATCAGGGCACCTTAATCCCTTTCTCTGGGAGTGTGTTGCACAGATACCAGGACAGTCTCACATCCCTG